CATAGTTGAGAATACCGTTGAAATATATTGTGATCTTTTCAAATCTTTTCATGTTTAGCGACCAACCAATCACAACCCATTTCCCTGTGAATTAGCCAATCAGCTATTCCGACCACCAGGCGGTCAGATATCACAGCGTTTTGACATGATTTTCATCAGACCTTCGTTTTGCGCCTCCCACCCGCGAATTTTAGACCGAGCAAAACGAAGGTCTGTATTCAGGCTAAGTTTCAGATGGCATGCAACATGTACGCACTGCGTACCTATTTTTTTAATTGCAAACCAAAATTGCCCGACTGTTGATCGAATATTGCCCGACTGCCTAAAAAACTGGGATATTGCCCGACTGCCTATGGTGATCCCCAAAACGTTCAAAATGCCAACTATTTGCAAAAACTGTCTGTACCAGTGTAGGTAGTACCAATGTAAAAATGCTGTGCTGAGTGGTTATATTACTACCTTAAAAAATAAGCAGAAACTCGACGTTTCGAGCGAAGGCCCTTCGTCAAGAGTTAGTAGCAGGGGATCGGGGAAAATGCACGGGCTTTTATACTAAGAGTATGAAAGCATCATGTAACAAAAAAATAAACCAATTAGATGGATTTAATCATAACAAAGTGTAAACAAAATATGTAAATCGCATTACAGAATATAAAATAATATAATTAAAAATATAAAAATATACAGGAAGTTAAGACAATTACTACAAAAAATAATCAAAACAAAACACGAGTGGGAATAGGGTAAAAGTAATAAATAGAGGTTGTCAATGTCTGCTATAGACAGGCAAGGACAGATGGCATCATAGACAAACCAGAAGACATGTATTCTGGATTGTCTATGATGGCATTAAACATAAGAAAAGCGTTCATTAATGCCATAAGGGTGAACAGTGCCAAGTTTGGATATGAGGCGCATTTCATGTCGTTTGCGGCTATCGTTGCTTCCAGAAATGGGACAGAGGGCTCGAATTAACATATGTGAAACACTGTGATTGCCATCATTAAAATGTCTGGCAACAGGTTGGTTAGCATCATTGCCAATAACTGCACGCCGATGCTCACCAAGCCTTGTCCTTAAACATCTTCCAGTTTCCCCAATCGGTAAAGCATGCCACATCTGCTGCAAGAGATGCAGTAGATGAGATG